AGGTTTAATTGTTTACTGCTTATACTGTTGTATATCGTATTTTTATAGCAGATAGTTGAAAGAAATCACAAATAATGATTTTCAAGCCTAAAATCTGTCAGTGGTTACCTGGTTTATTGTAAGAAAGTTATTTAATAGCTTGTTTTTTTAAAACGAGTGTCATTGATTCATTAAATTATCTTTTAATGAGTCGGTTAATGAAAATTTATATATTATAAATATTAAGGATGAAAAAAATTGTGAAACACGCTATACATATCTATGTGTGAGTTCAACCCTTAATAAAATAGAGGCATTTGGAAGTGTCGCAGCAAGTCCTGTGCACCGAGGAGTGCACAGCAGGAGACCAGGTCTAAGTGTTGTCAGAACTGGAGGAGGTCCAGACATCACAGGAATGAAGGCAGAAGTTCCACAACAAGCCAAACTAATAGTGACGGCACTTTCTAGGAGATTGGTGACTGAAGTGCTTTATGCTTAGAATGTGAATTGTTCTAGTGAACATTTTGTCGTTTAGGTGATAGGTAAGGTGGTAAGTGACGGAGAAAAAGAATTATACACACAATGAACAGTAAAACCCTATAAGAAATGAGCATTTTATTAATATATCTGATTGCATACATTTCTGAATGCGACCTTCTGTTTATTCCCTGTTGGTGGTCGTTGTTTAAATTATAAATCGCTGTTATGAGAATAAAATAAAATGGTGCGGCTAGTTGTTGTACGTGAGTTATAGTTCAATAACTCATTGAAATGCAGCAGAATGTTATCATAAATCATTTCTATCTTGTGATGCTTTGTCCACTACACAGATGTAGGTGCCTGCGATCGATTTGTTTTTAAAACTTCCACCCATGTTTCAGTCGAGCACGTTTTTTCTCACAAAACCTAATAAAATCTTATCGTAATTGGTTTTCCAACTTGGATCTTTTTATTTACTCAATAAACTTCACAAAGCTTATGTTCGGAGGCAAAATATTCATCGCTTCGCCCGCTTTTGTTTCTAAGGGGGAACCGATTAATTTTATTGGCCCGGCTAATTCTATCAAAGACTCTGCGCCGGTTTAATAGCGCACAACAAAATAAGACCCTTAAAAACTAATGTTCAGCCTTAAGTCCGCCGCAAATACCTCTTTGTGACTCCCGGCGATACCCACGCTGCCGTCTTCTCGAGACCTGGCTACACGGAATTTTCTTCAGGATTTATGAAACAAGACATTTTGAACTCTGCAGGAATGTCTCTAGGGTTGAATTTCCAACGACGACGTGGTACTACTTAGGGCAAAGTAAGACGCGACCAAGATTAAAAAGTTGGAGTCGGTCGCGCGATGTCATTGTAAGTGGAAAATGAGTTAAATAAGGCAATACATTTTAATTAGGAGGAAGGGATCCCTTTATTCCTTACGCGATAACTCGCCGCGTTCTCTATTAATTGAATTTCATGTTTAATTAAGTCGGAGGCGGCACAGATAATCCTCGCACTGATCTCGCCGTTTGTTCGCCAACCTCATTTAACTTGCTTTTGGCGATTGCTTCAGTTTTTTGAGCGACCGATACTGCGACCGCGCCCTGTATCTACTTTAATTTAGTGCTATCTGCTCGCCTCCTCCGATAGGTAAAGGGCTCATTGTACAATTGTTCTTAAGAACCATTGCTTTTCGAGAAAGTTCTAGGAGATTCTAATCAAGCTTTGTTTTAATTATACGTTGAAAGGAATCTAAATTGTTTAGGTGCCTTTGATATTTATTGTTACAAAGGCAATATTCCTCTCTTTTATTTCATATATAAATAATCTGTAGACTACGAATGATCTTGGTCGCCATCGATGTAAGGAGGGCGTGTGGTCGTTTCATAATTAAATTTTCGGAAATTTTGCGATCATCTCTTGAAAAGCTGAATCATCACACTGATTACTCACTTCTATAGGAATTAACTACTAATAAATATAAATAAACTCGAAACTATAAGAAAATTACGACTTCTCTCGCTATCATCACAAACCGAATTAAAAGCTTTCCAACGCCCCACTGACAAGAACAACTCTCTGAAGAAAATGGCACTCTTTAAAACCGGCCCTGTACAACCTCCCCAGATTACCTCAGTCAAAAAAATGATCGTAAGAATAAAATACAGTTACCGGTGTACAGTTAAATGTAGTGAGATAATCTCTAGTTAAGTGGTTCTTGTTGGTTCGACTCGATTGCTTAAAAGATTAAAAACTTGGGGAGTACGGAACATCGGATTACTGCACTGGGATGCAGAGAGTGTTGGTGAAACAGGATCACTTTATTTATTTTAATTATATACACTTTAGGTAAACGCTACGTTACGTTATTTTGGTATATACTATACATTATAAACCTAAGCATATCTGTGTGTACCTACTTTATGGAAAGTTATCAAAAAAAGTAACCAACTGTTATTTTCTTATGTTATATGCATATATACAATGAAGTAATCGATTAAGTATCGAGTATGGTACATATAGTAGACAGTGCAGTATGACCGCCAGGTGTAAGTAAGAGACTTGTCATCGAAACCATTAATAATCATAATAACCCAATGTGAAGTGAATTAAGAACTAGCTCCATGTCTTCACATCAAGTTTTTCTTAATACAGTATTAAATATGTGTATTCTATTAAACCTTACTTCAACTAGATTTTAATTCTTTGAAAAGAGCTTCAGTAACCAATATCATGCTATAATATCAATCCTCATATCCCTAATAGCCCATGAAGGCCGATATCGCACTTGTACCTCCCAGTGTATCGGATGTCCATGGGCAGTCTGTAGCACCGCTTGCTTACTATCCAATGACTAAAATTAGTAAAATGAGGCATTTAATAAGAAAAATCCTTAACAGTTTCTAAGAACTTCTAATACGTATCAGTAAGTCATCCGATTAATACAATCTGTCATAATCATTAACGCAGTAATTTCCTGGTGTAGGTATAATGCCAGGCGGTAGGCCATATTCGTGCCATTAAGGTTGGCTGTGCGTTATCAGGCTGTGCTCAAGGGGTCCCAGATCTTGAGGGTCTAATTGCCTGTCCCCTTAGAGCACGTCGTTAATATAAATTATACGTCTGTATCTTGATATGCTCTCCAATTGAGTGACTTTAGTTAGTGTAATGGTCAGTTTTTAAACTATAAATGCTTGTTACAGAAGTAAGTGCATCTTCCATAACCTCGATTGCTTTGATAGTAATCGAGGTTATAGAAGGTAAATTCAAAATATACTATTTATTTATAATTATTGTTATACAGAATAGTGCTAATCCCCAGTGTAATATATACATAGGTCTCAGGTGAGTTTTATGTTTTAAGTTTCGAATTTAACAACATAGTGTATGATTATGCATAATTTACTATGTATTCACCACCATTAAGGACCTTGAAGAGAAACTTCGGGCTACACTTAAAGAGCTGGAGAAAACAAAACAGCTGTGCAGCCAATTGCTCCAAGAACGAGATGACAGTGAGGTTGAAGTCAAAGTTATAGTTGACAAAAACACATCCCTCAAGAATGAGCTTGCTGAACTGCACATCCAGTATATGGATGTATTAGATCAACACAACCAGATGCAGTACACCATCTCCACATTCCAAGAGTGCAGAGACACACACGAAGCTGCGCTAAAACGAATATCTGCATTAGAGTCTGAACTGTGTGATGCCCATAATTTAGTTTCTTCTTCGCAGAAATGTATGTGTGCAAATTATGTTGAACAAAACAATCACACATTATATGAGGAACTGGTAGGCTGTAGGTTACAGTGTGAGGAACCAGAGCCAATTACAATAGACCTGACTTGTGATGACACCGTGCATAGATGTCCCTTTCAATCTCACAATAAACTTAAAAAATATATAAAAATTAATAAAATCTTAAAAAAAACCCAAAAAACACTTAAAAAACAAAATTTAATAAAAGTGAATATAAGGCTAAGAAAGGAAAGAATTAATTTAGTTAGAGATCTCCAATCTTGCACTTCCCAATTAGATAGTAATAGGGAAATATATAATAATAATATAAGAGACCTTCAGAGTGACTTATTAATAAAAGAGGGTATGAGTAGTGGTGATTAGCTGGTTCTGGCGCAAGCGCCAGAACCAGCTAATCACCCGGAATCCAAAATCTGAGTGGCACCAAACCTAAAAAAAAAAAAAAAAAAAAAAAAAAAAGTTTGGTATGCTATCCTAGGTTTTGGCATGCTCTGATCACGTTTCTGCAGTCCATTTTTGCGTAGGATGCGTGGTTCTGGAGTTATGCAAATCAGAATCAGCTTCTGAACCCTCATTAACGTTCCTTTGTTTGCTTATCGTTACATTACTTAACGTCCCATTGTACGCCTATCGTTATCATTATCTATTGTGCTTCGAACTCTCTCATTACGGTTGCTTTGGCGTTCTTATCTATTACTCATTGTTAACTTCATTTTGTCTGATTTTCTATATCATCAATAAAACACAATCATTCATTTTTTATTTCGAAATTTTATTACTTTCATTTTACAAAATATGAGTGGAACATCTCATCCACTAAATTATCATTGTACAGCGTGTTTCCTGTAAATATGTTCGTAAAACTATGCATTGAACATCCCTGAAACTTAAATAGCAAATACATTAAGCAATATTCGCTACAAACCGAAGTCCAATCATTCTGAATCCCATTCCAGTCCCACCTCTTACAATTCCTCTTCAAAAACTGAAGATGATATCGCTCAGGTGTTCGTCCATATGAATCAAAATATTGGCCGATACCATTTGTATCGATATGTATGGCTACCCAGTGTGACCCTGGTTTATCATCCGCATCCAAATTGCATATTATATACGTTGGTACATGTGTGTACATAGGTAGTCTATTAGCAGCATAAACATTATTTTCTAGACTGGAATGAATCTTTTTCATATGTTTTTGTAATTCTAGTGTATCCATGATATGACTGTTATTAGCAGATTATTACAGTATCAATCTATTCAATGGTTGTCATAGGAATGTTCAATGATAGTGATTTGTAAATATTAAATCGCATTCTTTGTGTTAGTCACAAAACAGGTTCATGCCTGTGGTGATGTGAGATAAGTTTGTTGATTCATAGAGTTTCGTTGTACTTAGGGATGTGTATGTGTGTCATGTTTTAGATAAGAATGGACTATATATGATGGAACAATTGCAGTCATGCAATCAGTGTATGGTCGTTTGACCACAGTGAATTGTATACGTCTACCAATACTACGTTTGTGCTACCTACTTCAACGCATCATGGAGGTAAGTGTTTATTCTATTGACAAACTTACTTGTATTTCTGTTGTTGTACGTGTGTATGTGTGTGTGTGTCAGATTAATCAAATTGATATTAACGTGATAACTCTGTTGTTGCAGAGATCATTCAGCTTCGCAGACGATAATGTAAATACCTATAAACAGTATTACTACTCGCCTCTTTCTCCCCAACACGAAGAAGAGAGTGATGACATCGTTGTTAATAACACAGGCGATGGTGGAAAAAGGAAATCGCAACCGATTGATACATTTTTTGAAGTGGCACCAAAAATAAAAAGGAGGAAGCTGCTATCGTCGACTGTGGCACGAGCTGTTAAAGATGGCGTATCATACATCTCTACAAGTTCTGACGACGGAGGCCAAGCGACGCATCTCATAAAAATTGAAATGTATGATATGAAGAAACTATCCAAGATTCCAACTAGTGATCACTGGAAGCATGCTACCACGAGGATTAAATATTACGTAAAGAATTATAAGGATAGCATCTACGACAACACAAATGGTCTCGTATACAATATTACAAAGACAATAGCAGAAAGTGAAAAAGTAAAAAAATACTTTTTTAACAATGACAGTCACTCATTAGTGGACTAGTCATATTAATACAAATTAAGGATTCTAAAGATGTTTATAAACTAAACATAGATAAACTAATAGTATATGTTAACTAATGATATAAAAGTTTGTGATGAAATGGAGAAGCGTGAACTGTTCGATTCATCGTATGATGATGCTCGGATACTCTCTTCTCTACTTTAATTATAAGTAGTATATTTTAGAAGATTAAATGGGGAAGGTTTATAAATAAATAAAAAATAGTACATTGCATACATTTTGTTTTATTAAATTTTATAATGTTACCTTTAGTTACACACACAAAATGCATTAAGCGTAACACATATATCTAAAACACAATACACATTATAATCCTAACTACTATAGTCTACAGTAACATTTCTATTTTTATCTATTTCAATAATATTATCAAACTCAGCATAAACAATACAGTTAATTGTTTGTATTAGTGAGTATTCAAATCGTACTTCTAATCTTACACTACCATGCTTTATGAGATTCCAATGGGCTGATGAGTTAGCTGATAAATCAGGAGTTAAATCAAATGCTAAAAGACAGTAACCTTTGGCATACTGTTCACGTGAGATTGCATTTCCTTCATTAAGAAAGTGAATACCAGTCCCCGAGAATAGAGTATGATATGCTGATGTAAATATATTATTATTAAAAGATGGTTGCAAAGCTTTGGATGGTATTTGTTGACCATCAATATATAAGCTGAAAGAGTTAATACCATAATTTTCAAAGTTAAATGGATTTTTAGTTAGTGAACCATTAAATGCAGAATTATTCACAAAACCTATAATACATCTTTTGGGTACCTGTCCTAAGAATATATTATCAAGAGTTTTTCCTTGAACACCCGATGGAATTGTTAAAACTTTAACTTCAGCACGAGTAATAGGATATTTAGCAGTGGTAGAAGCTAAAGCTCTTCGAACAATAAGAGTTGCGTTCGTAATGCAAACTTTAAACTTTACATCATTTGACCCAGCAAATGGGCATTACTCTCTGGTTTATATCCTGTATGTAAAAGTGTAGATCGGGTAGCATCTTACGCAATTCATGGAAATAAACTAAAATTTACTGGTATTTCTTTTCCGGTTAAAATTGCAGATATATCAAAAGTTGAGAAATTAAACAATATTAGTATTAATGTTTTTGGCTTACCTAATAAAGAAAAAAAGTGTAATTCCAACAGAATTATTAGGTCCTTTATATTGAACAAAATGTCGTACACCTAATCATATTAACCTACTATATATATCGAATGGTATTAAAAATCATTAGGTACTGTTATATTAAAAACTTATCGCGATTAGTTAGTTCACAAATATCAAGACAACATTGAGAGTTTATATATGTGATTCATGTTTACTTCATTTCCCATCAGAGGAAAGACTTAATAGCCATCGACAATATGATTGCGCTCACATTTGTACGGAATTACCAAACGGCGAGTATTCCAAAAAGGATTGGTTTGGTAAACCGACCTCAAATAATAAAATAAAATTTGACAAATTCGTGAAAAAGTTGGAAATGCTCTTTGTGATTTATGCAGACTTTGAGGCATTTTTGAATCCAATAGAATCATGTAGTAACGATCCATCTCAGCCTAGTACGATTAATATTCAAAAACATGAAGTGTATAGTTTTGGATATTATATTAAATGTTCATATGATAACAGATTATCAAAATATGAGACGTATAGTGGGTCAAACTGTGCACAAGTGTTTATGAATCGCCTTTGTGAAGATGTGAAAACAAAAATGCCCCTTTCCATTATCAGATGAAGATAAAATTAAAATTTCAAATTCAAACATATGTTATATTTGTGAAACTGAGGTAAATGAAGATCTTTTTTACGATTTTGATTGGCACACTGGCAGTTTTAGGGGTGTTGCACATCAATGCATGTGTGTAGTTCTAAGTACAGAACCCCTCGTCATATCCCAATATTCTTACATAACCTCAGTCACTACGATGCTCATTTCATTGTCCATGCATTAAACTTCGATGATAACAAAGTTGAGTTATTCCACAAAATAAAGAACGATACATATCATTTTCAAAACAGTTAACAATAAATAATCAACCGGTAAGTTTAAGATTTGTAGATTCATTGAAATTTTTATCGTGTAGTTTAGATCAACTAGCTAAAAATCTTAATGATGATCAGTTTACAGAACTAAAAAGGAACTATCCTAATAATGAAGACTTTTCACGTTTAAGACGGAAAGGTCCTTATGAATTTATGTGTAATAGTGATTGCTTGAAACATCCATCACTTCCTGATCAACCCCAATTTTTAAGTTCACTCACAGATTCAAATATTTCAAATGATGATTATAATCATGCAAAAGATATTTGGTAAAATTTTAAGTGTAGTAGTATGTCTGATTATTCCAATTTATATTTAAAAACTGATGTTTTACTTTTGACTGATCTATTTGAAAACTTTAGAAAGCTTTGTATTAAAACTTATGGATTTAGATCCTGCTCATTACTATACTGCCCCAGGTTTAAGTTGGGATGCAATGTTAAAATTTACCAAAATAGAATTAGAATTGTTAACGGACTATGACAAAATTGCTTTTTTTAAAGCTGGTATTAGAGGGGGTGTATCTCAGTGTAGCAATCGTTTTGCTAGAGCAAATAATAAAGTCATGGAAGATTGTGATAGTGAAAAACCTAATTCATACCTAACCTATTTTGATGCAAATAATTTATACGGTTGGGCAATGTCTCAATCTCTTCCTGTTGGTGGTTTCGAATGGATTGATTCTAATACAGATTACAATGTATCGGATAACTCTGATTTCGGTTATGTTTTAGAAGTTGATTTGGAATATCCTGATGAACTTCATAATTTGCATTCTGACTTTCCGTTGTGTCCTGAAAACATATTTGTGGGTAATACTAAAGAAACTAAATTAGTTCCTAATTTAAATAATAAAAATAAATACATCATTCACTACAGGAATTTAAAACAATGCATTGAAATGGGGATTAAATTAATTAAAGTACATAGAATTTTAAAATTTAAACAGAGTTCTTGGTTAAAGAAATACATAGACTTAAATACTAATTTAAGAACGTTAGCTACATCAAACTTTGAAAAAGACTTTTTTAAATTAATGAACAATTCTGTCTTCGGTATGACTATGGAAACTATTGAAAAAAGAGTAAACGTTAAACTACTAACTCACTGGGATAATCGTGGTAAAGTTTTAGGTGCTCAGGATTGGATTGCAAAACCAGAATTCCACAGTTTATCAATGTTTTCAGAAAATTTAGTCGCAATACAATTACGGAAAACAAAATTAATTTATGATAAGCCGATTTATTTAGGATTTTGTATTTTAGATTTATCTAAGACCCTAATGTATGAATTTCATTATAACTGCATGATTAAAAAGTTTCATAATAAAATTAAGTTATTGTACACCGATACCGATAGTTTGATATATCAAATTTTTACAGACAATTTTATGAGGATATAAAACCAGATCTACTTCACTATTTCCATACATCAGATTACCCGGAAAATAATATTTATGGATATCCAAAAATAAATAAAAAAAGTTGGGTTTTTTTAAAGATGAGAATAATGGTAAAGTATTGAAGGAATTTGCAGGGTTGCGATTAAAAATGTATGCATTAGAAATAGAAGATAAATTTATAGCCAAGGCAAAAGGAGTTAACAAAAGTGTTACCAAAAAAATGAATATGGAAAATTACAAATTGTGTTTGTTTACTAAAAATGTATTATATTGTAGTATGCTTCGATTCAAGTCAATCAAACACACTATTTTTACACAAAAAATAAATAAAACATCTTTATCATATAATGATACCAAACGATGTATTATTAACAACAACATTGATATTATAAATTACGTTAAGCGTACCTAATACTTTTTACTTTTATTTCTGTGTGTATATACAAAATTTGTACTAATTGTAAAAGTATGATATTACTATAATGCTATATAATAGTTTATTAAATATTTAAAATTTATTGTTTGATTGTAAATAATGTAAAATAATTGTAGTTTTTTGTATGCTTAAATTTGGCGTTGAGGTGATTGTGAAATTCTGATAAGTACTAATTGTAATTGTAGAAATAGTATACAGATCATTCTATTTTTCACAAATTACATGTTTTGTATAATTTTAGCTAACATTTGGTAAATTATATAAAGGCTGCATTTCATCAAAACACCATGTGATCTGATTAAAATTACAAGTACATATTTCTTTAACTGATTTCATGAAATTTGTTACAAAATTTGACTTCCCACATCCACTTGATCCTGCCACAATAGCAGTAAACGGATGGATAAAAATAATTTTTAACAAAAAAAAAAACCGACTGTCACCGACTTCAAAATTATAAAATAGTTACTAAATATTATTTTCTATTTAACTAAATGAAAGTGTGTATTACTTTAAACAAAGTAAGTTAATTTTTTACTTTTAAATTTACTTTTGAAGTCGGTTTTTTACGGAATTAAACGGATGGATAAAAATAATTTTTAACAAAAAAAAACCGACTGGCACCGACTTCAAAATTATAAAATAGTTACTATATATTATTATTTTATATTTAACTAAATGAAAGTGTGTATTACTTTAAACAAAGTAAATTTATTTTTTACTTTTGAAGTCGGTTTTTTTACAGAAGTAAACGGATGGATAAAAATAATTTTTAACAAAAAAAAAACCGACTGGCACCGACTTCAAAATTATAAAATAGTTACTAAATATTATTTTATATTTAACTAAATGAAAGTGTGTATTACTTTAAACAAAGTAAATTAATTTTTTACTTTTAAATTTACTTTTGAAGTCGGTTTTTTACGGAATTAAACGGATGGATAAAAATAATGTTTAACAAAAAAAAAAAAACCGACTGGCACCGACTTCAAAATTATAAAATAGTTACTAAATATTATTTTATATTTAACTAAATGAAAGTGTGTATTACTTTAAACAAAGTAAATTTATTTTTTACTTTTTAATTTACTTTTGAAGTCGGTTTTTTTACAGAAGTAAACGGGATAAAAATAATTTATATTTATAACAAAAAAAAAAACATCCGTTTACTGCTATTGTGGCAGGATCAAGTGGATGTGGGAAGTCAAATTTTGTAACAAATTTCATAAAATCAGTTAAAGAAATATGTACTTGTAATTTTAATCAGATCACA